GATATCTGATCATACACCCCTTCTTGTGGACTCTGGTGAGGCGGCTCACCAAGGAAACAAGAATGTTTTGTCTTTTGAATCTGCGTGGTTCGAGAGAGAGGATTACCTTGAGTTGATCACAAGGGAATGGGCGGCGAAACAAAGGGGAGAGTCAAATATTGATCGGTGGCAGTATAAGATTCGACATCTTAGACAGTTCTTGAGAGGATGGGCTAAGAACAATAGTGGTGTTTACAGAAAAGAGAAAGAAAGATTGTTAAAGGTTATCAATGACCTTGACATAAAAGCTGAAAGCACTGCGGTGGATATGGATGAGCGAGTGTCTAAAAGAGAAGCTGAGGTTAGTTTGGCAAAGCTTCTTAGAGAAGAGGAATTGAAGTGGGCACTTAGAGCGAAAGTGCGCTAGGTTGTTCAAGGTGATAACAATACTCAATTTTTCCATATGATTGCCAACGGGAAACATAGAAAAAAGAGAATCATTCAACTTGAACAAGATGAGGGTACGATTGTTGGTCATGAAAATTATAAAATGTATATCACCAACTATTTTAAAAATCTGTTTGGGGCCCTAGCTGAGAATTATGTCGCCCTCGATGAGAGCATGGTGGACGACATTCCTCAACTGAGGGATGAAGAGAACGAAGTGATCACTGCACCTTTTTCTGAGAAGGAGGTGTTTGACGCGATATCCCAAATGGAAAATAATAAGGCACCTGGTCCGGATGGATTCCCAGCTGAGTTTTATAAGAAATGTTGGGGTATTATTAAAGGCGACTTGATGCCCATGTTCCAGGATCTGTTTAATGGCCACCTTCAGCTTTTTAAGCTTAACTTTGGTACTATCACGTTGTTACCAAAGAAGGCGGAAGTAATTCACATTGAGCAATTCAGGCCGATATGTTTGCTCAGTGTGAGCTTCAAGATTTTCACAAAGGTTGGCACAAACCGTCTGACTCAGATTGCCCATTATGTGGTACAACCAACCCAGACCGCCTTCATGCCAGGTCGACACATTCTTGAGGGAGTGGTCGTTCTCCATGAGACCTTGCACGAAATTCACTCGAAGAAGCTCGATGGAGTGGTCTTGAAAGTGGATTTTGAAAAGGCATACTGTTTGGGGTGTGAAATAGGCACGTTACGCTTCACGTATTTAGGGATTCCAATTCATCACCGCAAGCTCACTAATAAAGAATGGAAATATATCGAGGATCGGTTTGAAAAGAGGCTGAGTTGCTGGAAGGGTAAACTTTTGTCTTATGGAGGAAGATTGATGCTTGTTAATTCTGTACTTACAAGTATGCCCATGTTCCCCCTCTCTTTCTTTGAAGTCCCGGTTGGGGTACGGAAAAGATTGAATTTTTATCGATCTAGATTCTTTTGGCAAATTGATGAGAATAAAAATAAGTATCGACTGGCAAAATGAGATGTAATTTGTAGACCAAAGGACCAGGGAGGCTTGGGAATTGAAAATTTGGAGGTGAAAAATAGGTGTTTACTTAGCAAATGGCTATACCGTTTATCGATAGAAAGAGATGTAGTTTGGGCTCAGATATTGCATAACAAATATCTCTATGCCAAAACACTAGCCCATGTTACGGCAAAACCGTCTGGCTCACCGTTCTAAAAAGGGGTTATGAGGACGAAAGTAGCCTTCTTCAGCAGGACTAAATTTATCGTCGGGAATGGACGGGATACTAGATTATGGGAGGATACTTGGTTAGGCAATGCACCGTTGGCCTTGCAGTATCCATCCTTATACAACATTGCACAACGGAAAGAGGTGTTCGTTGCTACAGTGTTGGGTTCCATTCCGCTTAATATTCAGTTTAGGCGGTCTGTTATAGGTGAGCGTTGGGATAGATGGTTACATCTTGTGCATCGATTAATGGAGGTTAACATTTCGAATGTACCAGGCACTTTGCAATGGGAGCTTTCCAGGTCAGGAGTCTTCTCGGTTAAATCCATGTACACGGATTTCATTAATACCGGGACTATCCCGAGGACAGTACATATTTGGAAAGTTAATTAAGGTGCCCTTGAAGATAAAAGTATTTATGTGGTTTGTGAATAAGGGTGTCATTCTTACTAAAGATAACTTAGCTAAGCGTAAGTGGGAAGAAAGTAAAAGATGTTGCTTTTGTGATCAACATGAAACAATAGAACATTTATTTATCAAATGTCCGCTTGCTAAATTGCTTTGGAGAACTATTCACGTTACTTTCAACATAACTCCACCTCTCACGATATCACACTTGTTTGATAACTGGTTGGCTGGAGTGAAGCCAAAATCCGCGGCACATATCCGAGTGGGAGCATGTGCATTACTTTGGTCTTTATGGAATTATCGCAATGACGTTGCCTTCAACAGACAAACCATTACCAACTTTTTGCAGGTCATTTTCAGAGCGTCTACTTGGATCTGTACGTGGTCATTACTCAGCCGTGCGGACCACAGGGAGCATATGCATATTGGGTGCAGCCGATGGGAGATGGTTGCACGGGATACATACAACCGGTTTGGATGATGGTCCAATCATAAGATAGGCGTTTAGTCTCCTAGTCTTTATGGCGCCGGTTGTGATTTTTATTTTTGGCCGCTTGTGGCTTTTCTTTGTTTAGTAAGATCTTTGTTTCATGTTGAGACTTGTTGTTGGAACCTTCGGGAAACTTAATTTTAATAAATGGCTGTGTGCATAGAGATGCAGAGGTCAGGGGTACGCCTTCTTTTTGAAAAAGAAAAAAAAACTAATGTGAAAAACACTTCTATATTATGGGACGGATGGAATAGTAAATTTGTATTGAATCAGCTTATTTTGGGACGGAGAGACCAATAAATAACTAGTAAATTATGATGATTGTGTACAAAATCTCGCTAAAACCGTAGCGCCACGAATATGCAAATTTTGTTTGTGTATACTAGTATGATATTTGCGTCCCTTGACAACAATTACCTAGGCAAAAGTAAGTTGAAAAAGCTAAATTACCGATCCATCTTACGGGCCTGTTCCGGGTGTAAAAGCAAAAACGGGTGTATTTTTTACAGCCCGAAAACGGTGTTCCAAGCACCTAGTCGAAGCTCAGCTGTTTTATTTTACGGAGGGGATGTTTTACAGGTGTAATAGGCTGAAAAACGACATTCCAAGCAGGGCCTTAATGCCCAATAGAGCGTGACTTGGTCTCGGTCCACTGATGCGGATGTACGTACCTTTTGTCTTGCAGGTAAAGTTTGAGCTTGTTGGCCAGCAGCGCCGTTTCCCAGCTCTCCGCCCCGTGCAAGCTATCATCCATGGTATCGTCGCCGGCAGCCAGGCGCGGCCGCTGGATCAGTTCCCTGAGCATGTGCAGGAACAGCGCCCTGACGTTTAGCGTCTGCGACACGATGAGGAACGGGGAGCACTGAAAGTCAGCGCTCTTCACCCGCGGGTTCTCGCACACCATCCTCGCCAGCGTGGTCTTGCCGAGCCCACCGAACCCGACGACGGCGAGCACCCGGAGCCGCGCGTCGTCCTCCATCAGCCAGCCCACGAGCTCGTCCCTCGGCCCGTCGATGCCCACCAGCTGCGCCTCCTCGGTGAAGAGGGCGTGCAGCCGCGGGTCCAGGCGGCCGGAGACGCCGGAGCTGGACGCGTGGCTGCTGGCACGCCCGAGCGCCGTCTTTGGCGGCAGCACCCCGTACCTGGAACGCCGCTCGCCGGCGTCCCTGGCGCGAGTCTTCAGTTCTTGGAGCTGGGCCGCCATGCGCCGGTGACGGCGACCACCACCGCCTGATCCTAGCGTGGCGAGCAGACGGACAAAGCGGCGGAGGGACGCCATGACGGCGCCGCCGTCCCTGTCGAACGGCTGGCGGCCGCGGACGTAGTCGTCGATGCAGTCCTCGGCGTCGTAGGCGATCTCCCTCACCTGCTTCACCCAGACCCGGACCTGGTCGTCGTGGCCGTCGGACGATTCGGCCAGACTACGGAGGAAGGCGGTCATGCTCTCGAGCTCGTCCTTGATGTACTGGACCTCGCCGTGGAGGCGCTGCACCGGCCAGCTCTCCTGCGCGAGGAGGCCGCCGAGCTTGCACAGGAGGCCTCGCACGGCGCCCTCGGTCAAGCTGATGATTGCACCCTCCATTTTCCAAACTGCAGCTTCTACCTTCCAGCCAGTATATTTATAGCGCATTTAGCACTTGCTGTTTCTTTAAGGAAAGTAGCGCCTGGTTTTCAAGGCAACGTAACCACGCTCTGAAAAAATGTGCAATGTTACCAATCATATTAAACACATTAAGGTGCGCGGATGGAGTGTGTGCTCGCGCATGCCACGTCGGCGCTGGACAAGCGAGACAAAAACGCACGCACCTGTGTATTGGCCAGAAAAATAGTGTCGTTCCCAAGTCTTCCTTCCCCAGATGCAGCCGCCGTCTTCTCCTCTTTCCCACGCGAACTCTCTTCTATCCATGACCGGCCGGGCCAGCTAGGGTTACCACCCGTCTCCCCCTATCTATGACCGGATCCGCGGAGGTGGCCATCACATGCCATCTGTTGACGGGCGAGGAAGGCTCATCGCAGCAACGACAACGGAGAGTTGCGGCCATCCTCTGGCGACAAGTGGACTGCCCCCTCCCCCCAACCCACTCTCCCCTGCGGCGGCTTCCTTCGCGCGCCCCGCCATGACCTCGCCATTTCGTTTGGATTTTGGGGGTGGTCTTCAAGCCGGACAGAGTCTGTCGATGGCGCCGACCTCGGCTGATCCATGGACGTTTTTTTTGCTCCTATTATGTGTGGATTTCGGGGGTGTACTTGCCCGTTGGATGCCATGTGTTTGTTTACACCATTTTCAGATTTAATAAGAATTAAGAAGAAGAGATTCAAGTGCTTGTACTCCCAAATCACGTATTGAAAATTCGTATAGTTTCCTGAACTTTTCCCTGGATAGTTTCCTGAACTTTTCCCTGAAAGTGTTATGTATTGTTTGACGTTTTCAGATGCAAGAGGCAGATCAACCAAGGACAACAGAACATGGTTTTCGCCAAGGCCTCGCTGGCGTTGCTGGCCGTGAGGGAAGCAACGTGCTCAGCAGTCCTATCCCTAACTTCATGATGATGCTTCTATTAAGTTCATGCAGTAACACAAATATTGTGTTTGTACCATGTATTGTTTGCTTGCCTACAAACAGATGGTTGGTGTGCCTCCTGTCTGTCGCACGGCGCCGCTACTCCGGCCACTGCGCCTTCAGGGAGGGGACTGCGCCGAGAGCTTCAAGGAGTTCAAGGCCAACAACATCCGTGGCACCTTCCCTGTCCTGCTCCAGATGGGCAATGTCCTCGTGTTCGGCGGCCATGTCCCCATCGTCAAGGTGCAAATCGGTTGCCCAAATCAAATTGAATTGAACCAGATACGCCTATTGGTCATTTGATTTGTGAGATCTGATCCTATCTGTTTCCTGTTCTTTGCGCATAGTAGGTGGGGCGAATGGCTGGCCAGTTCGCCAAGCCGAGGTCTGGTAACTTTGAAAAGAAGGATGGGGTTAAGCTGCCCAGTTACAGGAGAAAAAACGTCAAGGGCGACGTGTTTGATCTGAAGGGCCGTGTCTGTCCCAGATAGGATGATCAGGACGTACGCGTAGTCGGTGGCGATGCTCAACTTGCTGCGTGCTATCGCGACGGGAGGTTACATAACTATGAGGCGGGTCATCCAGTGGAACCTTGATTTCATGGATCACAATGAGCAGGGAGACAGGTGAGAAAAACTATGTCTTGCTATTGCAAATTTGTAGTAGAATTTTGTTGCGGTACGCTGTAGTTGTTGTCCTGTTTAAATATCCCCTATTGATTTTCTTGGGCATATCTCTTTATCATGATAAGGCAGGAGATAGGTGTTTATGTACTCTTATGTTCTTATTACTGGGATGATGTTCATCTAGTGGAATCTTATGAAAGCTTCTCGATGAATCAGATTCTTGATACTCATTGGGGTGCCATGACTGACAGTGATGTAAGTTCTTGCATTCTTCTGTCATAGAGTTGTTCTGTCCAAGAGCCCTGAAGTGTACTTGAACACAAACTGATAAAATATGTTTGCATTGAACTAGAACTGCAACTTCAATATCCATTTCAAAAATAAGTGACATAATTTTGTTTCTTTAGCCTATAAGGGTTTTGGAACCTCTCATCATCTCTTATCCGACATTTTTCTAGCACGTTGTCTAATGTGTTGTTGAGACTCTAATTAGATGCATTAGTGATTTTCTTTTGAAGCATCACTACTGATTTTTAGAAGAATGCCCACCACGATTTGTCAAAATGACATGCTGAATGTGCTATGCGTTTTAGTAATGCCTCTTCTGATTTTCACCCAGAGTAATTCCGTTTAGTTACACCTTTACACTTTCCTAAATTTCTCCATCGAAGTTTTATGACATTTCTATTGATTCGGCTCTCTATTCCATAATAATTTCTGTAAAATGGCTTACACAGATTTTGCTTGAGCAAAATTTCACAGGCCCTCATCGTCATGTCAATCAAACTTTAATTGAGGAAATGCCAACAAAGGAGATGTTCCACAAGCACTGACAAACCGGCGAGTAGACAAACCAACGAGTAAGTTTATTTGTCAATGCAATGATGTTATGTCGTCTAGGGTTATATTAGGAGGATCTTATGTCTGATGCTTACTTTTTTTTGAGTAGCTAATTGTACTTGACATGGGTGCTTTGATTGCTTGACAGTTGTACTTAAAAAGTCACATATTCTGATCGGCATGTCATTACATTCAATGGCGATATTCACGCTATTGTCGGGGCAGGTAGGAAGATATATAGATCTTGATTTTCATGAGCTCCAGTTCTATGGTTCTAAGCCTTTAGATGTTGTCAGTTTGTGAAGTTTATGACAATACCCTTTTTTGTGTGCTCTGTTTGACTGTTTGTTCTCATCTATTTGCCTTACATAAGATGCGCTAGGTGCATATCATGAAATATGAAGGGCCGATAGAAGCTCACTAATTGGCTGGAATTCGTGCAATTCTTCTTTTCTCTTTTGTAACTACACTTATAATTCATGCCCTGCTCCCTTTATGTTTCTTACCCTCAGACATCATTTTCAGTGCTGGACATTTTCTTGCGCCATGAGAGTGGTCTTTTGTGGATTTGCTATGCTGGTTCAGACGTTGTGAGCCTTCATCGAGCACACTGGCCTTGGGTGCGAGCGCCGGCAGCAACGGCATGAGGTAAGCAACCTTGATCAGTGTCGCGTTGTACATTTTGACATGCTTCCATGCAACAATCAGGTCCTGATCTTTCTATGCACCTACAAAGTGCACACCATCATATTGACAAATTATACGGTGTTTGTGCCATAATTTGTTAACTTGGATATGGACGGGTAGCAAGACAAAAGGATCAAAAGCCTGTACACATATGATTGGGACTAGCGAATTCACATATACAAATATGTTTCTAGAGCAAGGCTGAGAAGCTCCTCACCCACAACCATTTATCATTTTTAGTTAGTTATCACAAGGATGATGATTCAGAAGTTTCTAGGATGATGGGACTTGAGGCCAAACCATATATGTTTACTTTCAACTTCTCTTGTTGTTATTATACCTAAATTTTTCTTATATGTCCGCGTTTGAGCACTTGTGATCCTCATAATAGCAAGTTTGTCATAAATTCTAGAACCCCTTTGGAGGTTGAAGTCAGCAAAGATAGCGTATTCACCTATATTCAGATAATTCAAATAAATTTACATTAGTGCCATCAAGGATTACACTAGACATGTCAATGTGGATAAGCAAGATAGGTGCGCACATGACCGCGTCAAGAGACGCGCCCGGGGCGCGTCCCAGCCACTAGTGTTTGTCAAACCAAGCATGATGTACTAGGTCCGTAATTTGTTTTTCCATCCTCTTGCTGGAAACTTCTCAGTGCGTCAGGATATCGCTATCACTAGTCGTCCTTAGGATGCTAAAGAACAATTTGTTTAGAGAGTGGAAATGGCATACTATTTGATCTTCTGAAAGGCCTACGAAATAATGGAATTAACTAATTGTCGTATCCCAATGATACTTCGAGCTTAAGTCTAGTGGTAATAATAATAGAGAAATTCAGTAAGTCAGGACACTAACGTAGCTACTTGTCTTGAGATGTACCTTACCGAATTACTTATACCGTAAGAGTATTTCCAGCCGTTCGGCCCCCCCAGGACGCATAAAAATCGCCCCCTGGGGACGAGCCGGCGATGCAATCGGCGCTGGGGGCGGTTTCGCGCCCAGTCGTCGCCCCCAGCTCGCCCCCAGGCGTCGAAATTGGCCCAATTTTCAGCCTCATTTCGGCGAATAAAGGGTCCATATGGGCGACAATAGGCCCATATTCGACGTGGTTCGCCGTTGTTCGGCATTCAATTATGCACATAAATTTTTTTATCACATATTTCATCACAAAAATATCAAATACTTCAACAAAATAGTACAACAACAAATAGTTCAATACAAATTATATAGTTCAACAAATAAAAACTCATATTTCATCACACGTCGCGCCCGGCGTCGCCCTTGAGCCTCCATAGATGCTCTATTAGATCTTGCTGTAGTTGATGATGCACCTGTGGGTCTCGGATCTCCTGACGCATACTGAGATAGGCAGTCCAGGTTGCCGGTAGCTGGTGATCAACTTCGGCTAGAGGACCCTGTCTGTAGTATGGTTCAGTGTCAAACACTGGGTCTTCTTGCTCGCTCTCGATGATCATGTTGTGCAAGATGACACAGCAAGTCATAATCTCTCACATTTGATCTTTCGACCAGGCTTGAGCGGGGTACCGGACAACAACAAATCGAGATTGGAGCACACCAAATGCCCGCTCGACATCCTTCCTGCAAGCCTCCTGAACCTTTGCAAACCAGGCATTCTTGCCTCCTGGCACAGGGTTTGAGATCGTCTTCACAAATGTCGACCATCTCGGATAGATGCCATCAGCTAGATAGTACCCCTTGTTGTAGTGCCGCCCATTGATCTTGAAGTTCACCGGAGGAGAATGACCTTCAACAAGCTTGGCAAAGACAGGAGAGCACTGCAGCATGTTGATGTCATTGTGAGTTCCTGGCATACCAAAAAAGGAGTGCCAAATCCAGAGATCCTGTGTGGCCACCGCCTCAAGCACCACACTGCAACCGCCTTTGGCGCCTTTGTACATCCCCTGCCAAGCAAATGGGCAATTCTTCCACTTCCAATGCATGCGGTCGATGCTTCCAAACATCCTAGGAAATCCTCTTGCTGCATTTTGTGCTAGGATCCGAACAGTGTTTTCCGCATTGGGTGTTCTCAAGTATTGTGGTCCAAACACTGCCACCACTGTCCGACAGAACTTGTAGAAACACTCTATGTTGGTGGACTCGGCCATGCGCCCATAGTCGTCGAGTGAATCACCGGGAGCTCCATATGCAAACATCCTCATCGCTGTCGTGCACTTCTGGATGGAGGTGAATCCAAGAGCGCCGGTGCAATCCATCTTGCACTTGAAGTAGTTGTCGAACTCCCGGATGGAATTCACAATCCCGAGGAAGAGCTTTCGGCTCATCCGATAACGGCGCTGAAATGTTTTCTCGCCGTGAAGTGGAGCATCGGCGAAGTAGTCGGAGTAGAGCATGCAGTAGCCTTCGAGACGATGCCGGTTCTTTGCTTTCACCCGCCCAAGCGCCGAGCCACCTCGCCACGGCTTTTCATTGCTCGCCAGCAGCTGGGCGAGGGCGGCGAGCACCATGAGATGCTCTTCTTCCTGGACGTCGGCCTCGGCTTCCCCCTCCAGCAGCGCGGCTAGCGCTTCCTCGTCATCCGAGTCCATCGCCGAGGCAGGAAAATCGCCAAACACCTTGCGCTCGATGGGCGTGTACCCGCCGCTAAACCACGCCTCCGCGGCTGGAAACGACGGCCAGAAACGCCCACCTGCTGTTGGAGGGGCTGCCGCGGCGAAGCGCTGCTATTTTTCTGGTGGGGAATGACTATCTAGCGGTGTAGGGCGGCGTGCGGCGTTGGGATATAGCTACTGGTGGCCGAGGGCGCGGGGGGTGGGAGGCGAGTCGGGGAAGAAAAGCTTGACTTTTCCCCTGACGGTGTGGGCCAGCCACGCTTTTCTCTTGCGCCGGAGCCCCCAACTGCTCCCTAGTGCGCCGGGTTCGGCCTGTGACCGCCAGGCAGAAAAAGGGCCGAACCGGCGATTTTCGGTGTCCTGGGGGCGCGACTGGGCCATTTTTTCGACGCCGGCGCCGAAAAGTGGCCTGGGGAGGCCTGTTGGGGGCGCGGCTGGAAATGCTCTAAACTTCCTACTACCACGGGTCCATGGCACTGGGATTCTTCGCAGAAGAAGTAAAGCTTTTTTTCTTAAAAGATGGCCTATTCTATTGTAAGCTTTGAATAGAACTATTGATATTGATTTGTTGGCCGCATATAGCGGTATATATAAGAGTTTACAAGCCAAATAGGCCTATTACAATACGACTAGGACTAGATTACAATATGATTAGGACTAGATAACATGAGAGCCAAGTAATAGTCTAACATCCCCCGTAGTATCAACGAGAGGCTCGACAATGTTGAGACTGGATTGAAT